GCTTTTAAGACGTCAAAGGAATGGTGTTCCAACATGTCTAGCAACAATTGGAAGTCGAGGGGCGGAAAAATTTGTTGGTACACCCAACACTCAACGAATTGAGCTCCTTCCGTTGCCATATTGTTTTCCACTGATCACTTATGATCCAAAAGAAGACGAACCTTGGGTCTGGGATCTTGTGCGAGAAAGCCCCGACATTTTTGGCAGCGCCTACATTCCGCATTAAATCGTAGGGCAAATTAGACAAAGATCATGCTGAGTTGCAGCAACGTTTTTAAATCAGCACAGATAGCGCCTTCAGTTCGACAATTTTAGAACTTGGCATCTGTTCGGCCTTAAAGTTTACGTTTTCATTGGTTAGGATAATGTATCACATCGAAAGTCTGGGTAGTCGCAACTATTTCGCGTTTGATCAATGAAACGGACAGCTTTACGCTGACAGTAGATCTCGACTTATAAACAATCATGAAGGTGACAACTTGTGTGAGGTATGGGCTCTACAAATGATGAATAATATTCTGCTTTCTCAATTGTTTCGGTATTGACTTAATCATGCTATTCCTTTTTTCGCTCTGATACTTAAAATGGGTCTGATATCTTGAGTACAGAATTGAACGGTCAAGCCTTAGTGATATCTGAAGTCGACGAGCTCGACATATTAGAGTTCGTGGGTCGATAGCTTGCGCTGCTGTAATCCGATGTCGAAATGTAACACTCGGTAATCCAGTAAGATCCCGCCAATCGTGAATCTAACTTCTCAAACAGTAAAGGTAACAGTACGACCAGCCTCGACAACCTTGATTCAATCGCGTCAAACGACAGTCGAAGTATTAATGTGCTCAACGTGTATTGATTCAACGATGTATACAACCCGAGCTGTGTGTAAAGTAAACCAAGAGAGAGGAGGAAAACACCTGTGCAGCATTTTGATCTGACACGACGGCGAGCTCGTCTACGTTTAACGACGCGTCCGAATCGACTTCGTTTGCTGGTTGCTTATACGAAACGACCTCATCATAATGCTACTGATCGTACGAACACCTTGAACATTTTTCTACGAGCTGGTATCCAATCAATCGAGTGTATACATCTCGTTCAATTGGATGTAAGACGGCTGCTGTTTTTTCTTCGCGATGCAGTATTGGGCAATCATTCTGTGAGCATTTGTGATTTATTATCAATCGCAAAGGACATGGTGGTATCTATGACGCATACGAAAGCAGATACGAGTGCAGTCTTGTCCTCTTGGTCACAAGCTGAAAACGAAAATCTGATTCGGAAATTTTGAAGGGACATTGCTGGCAAGGGCGGGGAGTCACTGTTGTGCTAGAGGGTTGGGTCGTCACAGCTCAGTGGGGAACATTATGGCGATCTCAGCGAAGGGAATACGCATGTCTGTGTGACAACCACATGCTTTATTTCTTTTCGAGCCAAATGCAGTGTTCTGATTTTATATTTGACTTGGGACGAGAACGTGAAGGTAGTGCATCTGAAACTAGCAAACTTCTTCTGAAAAACAACCAAGTGGATTTATCTGAGACCGATTGGACGATCCGTAGGAGTTATAAAGACGAGAGTCACAAAGGGCAGCATTGTAACGCGTTTGCTTTTTTCGACGCTAAAGGTCGAATGCGACTGGTTCTGGATTTTAGTACTAATGCTGAAGCGACAAAGTGGGCAAGAGTGATAGCGGCAGAATTGAGTCAACTCAAGTTGTTCGCACGAATGCGTGAGCTGAATGAAACTCTTGCTAAAAAGGGTAGAGAAGAGCAATCGGATCATTTGAATCCGTTGATGACATGTACTGGGATGTCAATCCAGTAATCAGCATCGGTCATTAACAAGACTTCTTTGCTCATCCCTCTGTTTTCTTTATACTCACAGATTGACCGACAAAATGGGACAGCGCGAGTGGAACGGTGCAAATCAGGGACGCTTGGTCAAGCGTTAAAGGATTTGCAGCGAGATTACGTTAGCGTCAATGGTCT